GACTCGAATCTGGAGAGCCAAGCTTGATTCCCCACTCCCGCCTCCACATGCAGCCAGCTGGGTGACCTTGGGTCAGTCCCAAGTTATCTCAGAGCTCTCTCAGCCCCACCTACCTCACAGGGTGGGGAGAGGAAGGGAAGGCCATTGTACACTGCTCCGAGACTCCTTCGGGTAGTGGAGAGCAGGGTCTACAACTCTCCTGGCCCCTCCTGGACTGGGCAGGCAATCTGGGCAGATACAGCATGCTCTTCTGTGCCCTTTCAGCTCCACTGGCATTAAACTGCAGGGATGGGAGTGAACTGTGCCTGTGGTGGGGGCCACTGGCTTTGCTGGCCGCTGGAAGAGGGCCGGTGCCTGTCATCACTTTGCACTCTGCCAGCCAAGTGCAGACCCCTCTCCCTGGAAGAAACGGGCCTCCCCCCCAGAAGGCTTCCGTCGTGGCCTGAGGACTGGGAAGCCGTCTGTCCAGGGCTGCAACCCCCCGGGGGTGGCTGGGCCTGCGGGGAGGGGCTCTGGCCTCAGCTGTCCTGCACGGGAAAGGCAGCAGTGGCAGCAAGGTTGCCAACCTCCCGTCGGGGCCTGGAGACATCCCAGAATTACAACGACTCAGACCGCAGAGATCTGTTCCCTACAAGAATGGGTGCCTTGGAGAGTGGGCTGTGTAGTGGCCTCATGCCCTGCTGAGGTCCCTCCCCAAACCCCAGGCTCCTCGGGCTCCACCCCAAAATCCCCAGGAGTTTCCCAGCCCAGAGTTGGCGACCCTCGGGTAGCCCCGGCAAAGCCAGAGCCGTCGTCTGCAGCCTCCTCTGGGCAGGGACCCCCTTTCCTTGCTTGTCCTTTGGGCCTCTGGAAATGGGCTTGGGAGGGGAGAGCCACTGGCGTGACCATGTTGTGATCAATCAGGACCCCCCTGCAGGGCGGGCAGAGCTGCCAGGGTGGCACGTGAGCTGCTCTAGTGGCTGATGTCCCCCGTCTGCCCCTATATGTGTTTTTGTACAAACAAATATTTGTTTTATTTATTATCAAATTTATACCCCGCTCTCCCCACAAAGCAGGCTCAGGGTGGCTTCCAAATGTGTAAATGCAGGCTAAAAACATACAATAATTAAAACACAACGTTTTAAAATGATACAAAGCAAAGTGCTGGCAGCGGTTAAAGACTCACTTAGACGGAATGCTTTCAAATGGATTTCCAACTATCAGAAAGCGCTGAGATGTTCTTCTGCTCGTCGACTTTTATGGCAGCTGCTCGATGGTAAAGTTACGGCCGGGTGCTACAGCGGCAGCGGCGGCCCCTAATTAAATGCCTGGCAGAAGAGCTCCGTCTTGCAAGCCCTGCAGAGCTGTGAAAGGTCCCACAGGGCCCCAATCTCCTCCGGGAGCCACCAGGTAGGGGCCACCACTGAAAAGGCCCTGGCCCTGGTAGCAGCTAGCCTGGCCTTCCTCAGGCCAGGGAGGGTCAGCCGGTTTTGAGACCCAGACCGTAGTGCTCTCTGGGGTGTGTATGGGGAAGGGCAGTCCCGTAGGTATGTTGGACCCCGGCCATATAGGGTTTTAAAGGTAAGAACCAGCACCTTGAAGCGGATTCGGTATGCTACTGGCAGCCAGTGCAGGGTCTTCAGCACAGGCCAGATGCGCTCCCATCTAGGGAGACCCATCAGCAGCCTGGCCGCGGCATTCTGCACTAGCTGCAGCTTCCGAATCCCTGACAAAGGCAGCCCCATGTAGAGAGCGTTACAGTAGTCTAGTCTCGAGGTGACCATCGCATGGATCACTGTTGCCAGGTCGTTGCAGTCAAGGAAGGGAACCAACTGCCTAATCAGCCGAAGATGATTAAAAGCCGACTTAGCAGTGGCCGCTACCTGGGCCTCCGTGGTAAGGGAGGGATCCAGGAGCACTCCCAAGCTCCCAACCTCCAACGCCCCCCGCGGGGGGACCAATGAAGCCCCCCCCCCCCGAAGGTTGGGAGTGGGATCCCCGCCCCCGGACTCAGGCACAGGACCTCCGTCTTCGCTGGAGCCGACTCAGTCTAAGCCAACCAGGCACGGCCTGCAAAGCCCGGTCCAGATTTTCTGGTCTGGATTCTGACTGGCCGCCTAACATCAGATAAAGCTGGGTGTCATGAGCGTACTGGTACACTGCTTCTTTTTAAAAAGTGTAAATTCATTCTCATGCCCTGCTTTGTTTGCATGCCAGGCCTCTTTTTAATTCTACCCTCCTGAAAATCTGGAACCTCAGGGGGCAAAAAGAGGGAATTACATTTTGCCAAGATAATAGAGACAGTGCCTTGAGCTTTGGGTACAGGCTGCCCCGCTGAGTTCTCCGTCATCGCCATTTGGGAGGCTGTTCAGCATTTCCCTCTTTCTAAAAGCGAAAATATTTTGTCAGCGGTCCTCCGCCCCAGCTCCCACAAATTTCCCACTGGAAAAGTTGCAGGGGGAGTCTTCAGGGGAAATGTGGAGTGTATCAGAGTGAGTGGCTTGCTGCCTCTTTGAAATAAGTTTTTTAAAGAAACTTGTGCCCAGGTAGGGACTTGGGTGGAGCTCACTGGGCAGAAGGTCAAGTGCAGCGCAGACTCAGGGAGGGACCCGGGGCCAGATTCCAGCTCAGAAACGTTTGTTCCCCGTGTCCGTGATGAGCAGCCTTTTAGAACTAAAGATCCAGGCGACTTCACAATTCTGAGCAACAAAGAGCCAGTGTAAGTGAGGGTCATTTGCATAACATTCAAGACTATGTGTAATGTCTGACATGTTGATTAATAAGCCATAACGTTTCTGCAGCCCAAGCACTGTCCACTGCAACTCCTTCATTAGGAAACGGGACACAAAAGGTCTTGCATACATAGGAGCAGCCTGTGCAGTTAGTTTGGTGCACAGGCATCCATCTGTGTGTGGTTTGCCAGCAACTGTTCCCCTTTATCACGTTCCTTTCTGCAAAGCATCTCTTGTTGTTCAGTCGCACAGTCGAGTCCGACTCTTCGCGACCCCATGGACCAGCTCCCGCCAGGCCCTCCTGTCTTCCGCCGTCCTCTGAAGTTTGCTCAATTTCATGTTCGTTGCATGTATGACACTGTCTAATGATCTCATCCTTCAACGTCCCCGTCTTCTTTGACCTTCAGTCTTTCCCAGCATCAGGGTCTTCTTCTCCAGTGAGTGCTCCCTTCTCATTTGGTGGCCAAAGTATTTGAGCTTCAGTTTCATTATCTGGCCTTCCAGGGAACAGTCAGGGTTGATTTCTTTTAGGATTGACTGATTTGTTCTTCTTGCAGTCCAAGGGACTCTCAAGAGTCTTCTCCAGCACCATAGTTCAAAAGAATCTATTCTTCGGCGCTCGGCCTTCCTTATAGTCCAACTCTCGCATATACCATTGCTTTGACCCTGTGGACTTTTGTTGGCAGGGTGATGTCACTACTTTTTATCATGCTGTTTAGGTTCGCCATCGCTTTCCTCCCAAGGAGCAGGCGTCTTTTAATTTCATGGCTGCAGTCACAGTCTGCGGTGATCTGGGATTCCAGGAACGTGAAGTCTGTCACTACTTCCACGACTTCCCCTTCTATTTGCCAAGGAGTGATGGGGCCGGATGCCATGATCTTAGTTTTGTTGATGTTTTTTTGATGATCTCTAAGAAGCCCTATAAATGCCTGCCAGTTGCTTCACATACTGCTTCTAACCTCCCACCTACTGCTCCAATATACCTTAACTTAAAGGTTTCTTTTTCTTTTTCAAAGAGCCACATTTGCCCTTGGTGTGCAATGAAAGCAAAACTGAAAAGGACAACGTGGGGAGCCTTGCCCCTGGTGTGTCCGTCAGAACTAGCCAGCCTGTCCCCTTTGTCTCTGGGGGCAGGAAACCGCGTGAGCAGCCCTCCTGATTCAGGCCTGCCAAGGATCACCTCTTGACTATCTCGCAGCCAATGCCAAGAGAGCCTGGCAGCTCACAGTGGCCCCCCTCCCCCAGTTGCTTCCTGCTGGCACCTCCAAGGAGCTTTCCACTTTCTGAACGCCTGGCCAAAGGGGAGACGTGGCAGTTGTCCCTTGCGTGGTACTTGGACTGCCATCCAGGAGAAGGCTTCAGCCGTGGGAAGCGGGGTGGGTGGGTGATACTTTGTGGACTGGTTTAGAGACGGTGTCGTCTGTTTCGCACTTGATGTCAGTCCTCAAAGCAGACTACAGTGTGCAGACTGCAGTGGTCAGTGAATTGGTTCAGACATGATTAATCCGCTGAAATTCCTGAGCTGGCTGGCAGTCCCTATATGTTTATGTGTAAGTTAATTAAAGTAAATTTATTTAATTAAATGTATTTAATTGAAAGGAGCTGTGGTGGCTCAAGTAGTTAAGAAGCTGAACTGCAGGCTGTGGAAGGTCAGTAGTTCAGCAGTTCGAGACCCGGGTGCCGCATGATGGAGTGAGCTCCCGTCTCTAGTTCCAGCTCCTGCCAACCTAGCAGTTCGAAAGCAAGAAATTGCAAGTAGATAAATAGGTACCGCTTCGGTGGGAAGGTAACAGCGTTCCGTGCGCCTTGGTGTTTAGTCATGCCGGCCACATGACCACGGAAACGTCTTCGGACAGCGCTGGCTCTTCGGCTTGGAAACGGAGATGAGCCTAGAGTCGGACTCGACTGGCTTTCGAGCAAGGAAACCTTTACCTTTTTACTATTTAATTGAAATTAAGTAATTGAAAATAATAAAGGCCTTTTGCGATAAACTTCAGGGGGCTTACGTATAAAGGTACAATAAAATGGCTTATACACGGCACAGACGGAAAGCAGATACAGTCCGGCCTGACTGGTGGTCGTCCTCCACACAGGGCCCAGGCGTGAAGAGAAGGACCAGCCTCTTGGTGTCAGCCCCGCCGGCCACTGGGTCTCTTCCCCAGGGCTGTCCTGCAGGTTCCCCGGGAAAAAGGATTTTGCCCTGGCCATGCAGAAGGAAGTCTGACCAGAGGATTCCCTTCCTTTGTCCGTGATGAACTGATGCGTGACTCTGGCCTTGTGTTTCCCTAGAGCCGCCTCCCTGGCATCAAGGTGAAGTACCTGTTCCTTGCCTGGCTGGGCATTTTTGTGGGCAGCTGGGTGGTCTACATGCATTACTCTTCTTACTCCGAACTCTGCCGAGGACACGTCTGCCGGATGATCATTGTGAGTGCTTCTTTTCTAAATACACAGACATTTCTGAGGAATGGAAGAAAGGTTGGCGCGCGTGTGTGTGTTGTCGCCTGTGGGCAGAGCTTGCTGGGCAGAGCAGAGAGAAGACAGGAGCTAAGGAGCATGTGTGATCTGGAGGGTTTGCCCTGGGGATTTAGAAGCATTGAACCCTCTGACCTGGATCTGTGGTGTGCCTGGAAATATTTCCCCAAAGGGGGACCGATTGGCCTTGGATCTCCAAGTAGGCAAATGGGGCCTGGTGGAGACCACACTGCCAAAGCGCTTCCCACGGGACTGCAGGTGGGCTGCTGCCCACTCAGAGCCCCCGCATGACCCACAGGGCTGTTGGGGGTCTGACGGAAAGGCTGTCCAGGTGTTGGGGAAGGGGCCATGAAGGAGAAGAAGGGGGCACACAGATGGGTCCCCTCTCATCACCGCAGTGTGACTGTGCATGCACAGCAGAATGGGGGCAGGGGGCAGAGTGAGACTTCCCAGGCACTATGGCTTTCGTGGCTTAACCCCTCCCCCAATTTTGTACCATTTATGTTTTTCATTTGGGCCAGAAGGTTTGGAATGAGTCACAGGTTTTGGCTCATTCATTCACCTGTCACAGCCTCTAAAATGGGGCAAGTGCTGGCATTTCCCTGAACATCTGAAGCAGCAGGGGGCAGAAGCTGTGGGGTTCTGCGTTCCGGGGGGGGGGCTCCCAGTTGGGCCAGACCCGCTCAGCCGCAGAGCTGTGCTTTGTGCTGTCAGCCCATTCCCCAAGCCTGGAACCCCTTTTGAGAAGGAAGGCAAAGTTGTTTGTCAGGCGCTGCCTCAGTCTTGATGCTAGGCTGCAGGCCACGTGGCTCTCCAGAGTCTCTTGCAGCAAGCTCCCTGCTCCTGAGCTGGAGGGTCTGGCTATGCAAGGGTTGCCCTTGCCTGGCACCCGCAGCTGCAGGCTCCTCTGCCTGTCTCTGCCAGCTCCCATGCCATCCCAGTGTGTTCCCAGGAAGATGGCACCCAGCAAGTTCTGTGGACAGACCGAAGATCTCCAAGTCAGCCGGCCTCCCCCCTCCCTGCCCCCCCTCCTTACTGCCCTTTCAGCCCCTTCGGTTTCCCTGCCTCCTCCGGCTCCTGCTTCCCTAATAATTCCTCGTTGCAAATCATCTCCACTGGGCAAGCAACACTGCTCCTGGGCTCTGCCCGTCATCACTGGCCCAAAGCCGGCGGCCCCACCCCATGTGCCAAGAGGCTCCCTTGGTCCACTCCCCGCCGGCCTCTTTTAAACAAGACAGGAAGGTCTGATCCAGTCCTCTGGGAGCCGCTCCCCCCCCCCCCCCCCGCCTCTCTCTTTGCGGGCGTAGCTTTTCCTATGCCCCTCTGTAGTGTCCGCTGACCGCCACCAGAGGCCAGCGCACATGCCTGAGCTTCAGTCCAGGACAACAATGAGGACTAGGATCCTAGTCCCTCCACTGGGGGAACCAATGGGAACCGTGGCGGGAAATTCAAACCCGCCAATGGGACCCAGGGGTGGTCCCCTGGCTGTGTATATAGTTGGCCTGTCGGCCGTTTGTCTTTGTCTTTGTTGTGTGCCTAATAAAGCGTGCTATGCACTACGTCGTTGTCTGTCATCCATCCATGCGGTAACCCACTACTTAACACCCTCATTTCAAGGGCTTTGTGGTCTGCCTTTGTTCCTGGCTTGAAAGGCCAGGGCCCTGAGTCAGAACGAGGCTGCAGATCATAGGGGAGAAGACGGTCCCACCCATCGTAGGGAGCCAAGTCACTTTCATGCATGAGGTGGAACACCCAGATGGAACTTCTGGTCATGGTTATTAGTAGTTGTAAATTAAATTCTTGGCTTGCCTTCCAGGAGAGTTCAGGATCTGCCACTCCACTTGAGGCCGCAGCTCAGCCACACTCCCTGACTGCCCACGTGACCGTGGCTCTTGCGTTTCCACAGAGGGATGAGCCTGCCCTGAGAATCAGGCCTCTGGGGCAGAGAGACAGCAGCCCAGGCTCTGCACGCGCGTGAACCGGGGGGCCTGCTAATGACACTCATTGCCTCTTTTCCTCTTTCCACCCCTCCCAGTGTGACCAGTATAACAAAGGAATCATCTCCGGGTCCTCTTGCAAAGACCTGTGTGAGGACCACACGCTGGCGCTCCAGCAGTGCCTGTCATCCTCTCCAACCCACCAGGTGGGCTGATCAGAGTGCTGGGTGGGTGGGGGGACAGCATCAGCAGCAGAAGTCTGACAAGCAGTGCAGCTTCTGTGAGGAAAGTGAAAGGTCTGTGGGTTGGGAAAGGGCTAGAGGTCCCGTGACAGGGGCTGGGGTTGCAGATAGAAAAAGGTGGAAACTGCTGGGTGTCTGAACGCAGAGGAGGCCCCCATTGGGAGTGATGGGTGGGCAGCGGGGGGTTGAAGGAGTGAGGGCGTTGGGGAGAAATTCATGTGACATGTTCTGTATGATCACAAACTGAAACAACCTGAGGTGCTGAGGTGAACGCAAACCCATCCAAGTGTTGTGGCTTTATGCAGGTGTACAGCGGACTCTGGAAGGAGAAGGAAGTGATCATTAAGTGTGGAGTTTCCGAGGCCCTGAAGGTTGACAGCAGCCCAGACGCTGCGCCCAGGAGAGAGGTGGTTCTCTTTGACAAGCCCACAAGGGGGACGTCGATGGATGAATTCCGAGACATGCTGTTTAATTTCTTAAAGGTCAGTGCAATTATGACTACACTGGCAGGGAATCATAGAATCACAGAGTTGGAAGGGGCCTTAGAGGCCACGTAGTCAACCCCCTGCTCAATGCAGGATCAGCCTAGAGCATCCCTGACAAGGGTTTGTCCAGCCGCTGCTTAAAGACTGCCAGCGAGGGGGAGATCACCACCTCCCGAGGCAACTGATCCCACTGTGGCACAACGCTTACTGTCAAAAAGGTTTTTGTAATATCCAGGTGGTACTTTCCCACCCTTAATTTAAACCCATTCTTGGGAGTTCTCTCCTCTGCTGCCAACAGGAACAGCTCCCTGCCCTCTTCTCTAAGTGACACAGCCCTTCAAAGACTTAAAGAGAGCAATCCTGTCCCCCCCCTCAACCTCCTCTTCTCCAGACTGAACATGCCCAAGGAGTCCCTCAGCCTTTCCTCATAGGGCTTCTTGGTCTCCAGGCCCCCGATCATCCTCGTCGCTCTCCTCTGCCCCCCGCTCCATTTGTCCACATCGTTTCTGAAGTGAGGCCTCCAGAACAGCACACAGGACTCCAGGTGCGGCCTGACTAATGCAGTGTACAGCGGGACTATGGGATCTTGCGATTTGGAGGTTATGCCTCTGTTGATACACTCCAAGATCACATTAGCCTTTTTTGTCACTGCATCACACTGGCTGCTTGTATTTAACTTATGGTCCACCCATACCCCAAGATCTGGTTCACACACACTGCTACCCAGAAGCGTATCCCCCATCCAGTATTCATGTTCCTCATTTTTGTTACCCAGATGTAGAACTCGGCACTTGTCCTTGTTAAATTGCATCTTGTTCACATATGCCCGCTTTTCCAGTGTGTTCAGATCTCGTTGAATTCTATCTCTATCTTCTGGTGTGTTCGCTGATCCTCCCAATTTGGTGTCATCTGCAAATGCAATGAGTAGCCCCTCCACACCCTCAGCCAGATCACTGATAAAAATATTGAAAAGTACCCAGCCCAGAACCGAGCCCTGTGGCACCCCACTGGACACCTCCCTCTATTCAGATGAAAATGCCAGTGACAACTACTCTCTGAGTGCGGTGCTCCAACCAGTTCCCTACCCACCTCGCTATCCTAGAGTCCAGTCCACAATCCTCTAGTTTACCCACCAGAACATCATGGGGGGAACCCTGTCATAAACTTTCCTGAAATCCAGCAGGTAAACAACATCAACCTCAACGACCTCTGCCCATGTCAACCAGCAGCCCGGGCATGAAGTCTGAATTTTTTTGGACAAACTGAACCACTGGAAAGCAAGCTGGTTTCTGGGTTCTTTTAGATCACTGGAACTGGTGATGACTTTACTGGCGAATGTGTGGAAAGCGTTGGGTTTAGCTGACGGCTGGTGTGGCAGCTTGGGGAGGCACCCTCAAGTCGCGGCTTGCAGCAACGGGCGCATGGGTTTAACTCTCCTGTATCCTCTTGTGCTTGGAGGATGTAGAAAGACATCTTTCTGCCTGGGAGGAAGAGCAGGAGTGACCGAGCAGGAGAAACCCTGAGAGCTACCCGGAATAAACCTTGCCTCAAAATTCCTGTAAAATTCAAAGTTGGGCAGAGAGGCCCCCACCCCCACCCCCGGGCGTGGCCTGAACATTTGCTAACTTGGTCCATAGGACTTTGTTGCCATTTTATGCATTTATATTTTATTCCTGCTTTTCAATCAGAACAGTGGTTCCCAGAAGCCTGTTGTGGGGAGGGGAAGGGAAAGGAGTTTGTAAGCCGCTCTGAGACTCCAAATGAAGGGCGGGGTATAAATCCAATCTCTTCTTCTTCTTCTCTTGGGTGCATACCATCTGGCCTGGGGGTTTGTACTCATTCAGTGCAGCCAGGTTCTTCTCAAACTACCTCTGCCCGTGTCAACCAGCAGCCCGGGCATGAAGTCTGAAATTTTTGGGACAAACTGAACCACTGGAAAGCAAGCAAAGAGGCTGTCTAAAAGCTGGTTTCTGTGTTCTTTTAGATCACTGTATCTGGTGATGACTTTACTGGTGAATGTGTGGAAAGCGTTGGGTTTAGCTGACGGCTGGTGTGGCAGCTTGGGGAGGCACCCTCAAGTCGCGGCTTGCAGCTGCGGGCGCATGGGGAAGAGAAGCATGCCGGCTTTAACTCTCCTGTATCCTCTTGTGCTTGGAGGATGTAGAAAGACATCTTTCTGCCTGGGAGGAAGAGCAGGAGTGACCGAGCAGGAGAAACCCTGAGAGCTACCCGGAATAAACCTTGCCTCAAAATTCCTGTAAAATTCAAAGTTGGGCAGAGAGGCCCCCACCCCCACCCCCGGGCGTGGCCTGAACATTTGCTAACTTGGTCCATAGGACTTTGTTGCCATTTTATGCATTTATATTTTATTCCTGCTTTTCAATCAGAACAGTGGTTCCCAGAAATTAAACACACACACACACACAAATTACAATTAACATTCTCTGCAAAGGTTCCTTGGGGAGGAGAGGCTTTTCTTAAGAATAACCCAGCGCCTTTTGTCCAATGAAGAAGAGAATGTGGCGAGGGGCTTTTTTCCATCATCCCTCCCTGTTCACAGAAATCTGTTACATGGTGCTGAATACTGGCTTTCTTCTGCTGCCAATCTAACAGAACCCACCCCTCTTCCTTGAATCTATTTCCATGTGGAGAGAGATACCACATTTTTTCCCCTCCTCCTCCCCCAACACCAGGACTTAGAGGCACCCAGTTAAATGGCAGAAATGTATGAGGCGTTGAGGCAGAAATGTATGAGGCATTGTATCAGCAGTCTAGCTTTGCATGCAGAGTGCCCTGCTACCCTTTGGGTCAACTTCCATAGTTTAGGGACTGATTCACACCAAGTATACTTGATAAATGCAGTGCGTGTCACACAATTTTCAATGATGGGCTGTCACACATAGAACAAGGATCATTCTCACACTTCCAGTGTCAAATCGTTTTTTGTGTAAATTGGGCGGCCCCCGGGGGGGGGGGGGGGGAGGCAGAAGGTAGCCTCACCTAGTGCGCAAAAAAACCCACAAAAAACCTGGCACCGGCCCTGGCTGGAGCACCCAGGCTGGGATCCGTGCAGGATCACAGGCCATGGGCAAGTTTCTCCCTCCTCCAAATCAAGCTTTAGGAAAAAGCAGTAATGCACCTTATATTTTTCCTGTGGTTTTTTTCCAATCTGCTATAAATGCTCCTGCACAATTTCAATTCAGAATAGGTCTGTAAATTCCAGGATTCTCAGTTCAAATCTCCTTCCCCGGACCTCTATGCTTTCCTTGTGTGCTATTCCTTTTGCCACTGGGATTGAGCTGCCAGTGAGCCTTGTTGGTACCACAATGCGTTCTCATGTTCTCTCTTCCTCGATAATGCAGCAGTCTCACTGTGAAGAGGGCATTTCCCCAATTTGAACAGAGCTGGCTAATGATTTTCAAATAGGATTCTCAGTGCTGGCTCTTAATTAAAATAAAATACCATGGCTGATCACTCTGGAGTTGGCAGGCAGGAGGTGTGCAATGCTTTATTATTATTTATATTTATATGGAATATATTTGCATGCACACACAAAAGATTTTTGTTTAAACTTATCCCAAAAATCAGAACAGTCCTTTCTAAAATATAGTTTGAAAGAGTCATATAAGTAATACAAATATATTCCATATAAATATAAATAAGTTTAATATAAATATATGGCTTGTAATACTAGTATATATGATATGTCTGTATGTTTTGTATGTTTGTACACTGAAATCATTTTTTTTAAAAAGTCAGCCTGTTCACAGTTTTAAAGCTAGCACCACTTTTGGCTCACAGGGTAAAATTTCTGCTCACGAGACTGCACGCCTTAGAGGGAACATTGGTGGTAACCTCTGTCTGCTGGCTGTAGATTCCTGGTGTTTTTTCAGGATTGCACTGAGCCAAAGAGTAGCTGAGTTCACCCGTGGAAATCTGAAATGGGGGCCTTCTGAAAGGCCCAGTTTATGCATGCTGCACAATAGTGGTGATATTTTTATCTGACTTCTAACATTTTAAGCTGTGGGGGTGGGGTTGTAGGTTTCAGTACTGCTTCTGGCACAGAAAAGGCCGGGCCAGGAGGGTGGATGACTTTAGCTTTTTACATGCAAAGAGATTTTTCTTCTGAAGCAGGAAGCCATTCGCTCTCAAGGTACTTGATGTTTAGAGATGTCAGAAGCTGACCATGTCTTTTTCTTTGCTTACAGTCCAACCTGGGAGACCAGCCCTCTCTTGCAGCCTTAGTGAACAAAATCATTACTGTGGCCGATGTCAGCCAGGATGGCAAATTGTCTCTGGCTGAGGCCAAGTCCATGTGGGCGCTGCTCCAGCAGAATGACTTTCTGCTCACCCTGTCTTTGCATGAGAAAGAACACACCTCCAAGCTGCTTGGGCACTGTGGGGACCTGTACATCACGGAGAAGATTACCCACACCTCCTTCTACAACATGGACGTCCCTCCGTTTCTGCAGCCACTGTTGCCTTCCGCCATCCAGAGAGTTATCCACCAGTGGTTTTCCCCGGCGTGGCCACGGCGAGCCAAAATTGCCATAGGCCTTCTGGAGTTTGTGGAGGAGATCTTTCACGGCGCCTATGGGAACTTCTACATTTGTGAGACCGGCTTCAGGAACATGGGCTACAACAAGAAGTACGACTTCAAGATCGTTGACCTGAGGAAGGTGGCGACAGAGATGACGATCCGGCAGTTCCTTAAGGGGCGCCATTGTGAGCAGAACATTGACTGTACCTACGGGAAGGACTGCGTGGCACCCTGCGACAAGCTCATGAAGCTGTGCAAGAGTGACGTGGTCCAGCCCAACCTGGCAAAAGTGTGTGGCCTTCTCCAAGAGTTCTTGCTCCACGGAGTGCCCCCGGACTTAAGAGAAGAGCTGGAGAAGCAGCTGAAGACTTGCACCACCCTCAGTGGCTTGGCAAGCCAAATGGAAGTCCATCACTCACTCGTGCTGAACGGTCTCAAGACTCTGTTGTGGAAAGAAATTTCAAATACCAAATATTCGTAGAGATCGGGGGGCACAGGAAGGGCAAAAGCTGCCAGGACGAACCGGGATTTATCTCATTCTCCCTCCCGGCCGACATGACCAGCATTGCTCCTCGGGCCGGTGAGGGAGCGTAGCTGCAGAGCAGCAGGAAGCCTCTGGGCCTGGCGGAAGGGACAAGGAGCCCGCAGAAAGGGGCCCTCTTCCACCTTGAGGGGCCGCTAGCGAGAGCTGCTGTAGCGTTTGCGGTTCAACTTGGACACTCCTCGTGTAAATAAACGGCACTTCTCTGATTGGTCCCCCTACAGAGGTGGCGGAGGTGCTTTTAAAACCCTCTTTGCGGCCTGGCAGCAAAGGAGCTGCAAATTAATTTGGCACCGTTTCAGAGTCGTCAGCAATTTAGCTCTTAGAATTTTTCCAGGACGGCCAAAGCTCAAAAGCCTGCTCTGCCTGTGTACAATGCAGCTTAGCTGAGGCAGACAAACTCCCAAAAGTCTTGTGCTCCTGTCCCCGTGGGAGGCCTGAAGGGTGCGGTGTTTGCATGGGGCCAGTCCTAGCACCTGTACTCATGGCAGTTTCTATCCAAAAGCTTTCTGCTTCTGAGACATGGAAATTAAACGAGTTGGCCTCCTGGAGAGTGGGGAGGGTGCACAGCTATTTAAGTAACTGTTCCAGAGCTAATTCTTAAGGAAACCCAATCAGAACTAATTAGGCCAAGTTAGTCACTTTTCAAGCATCTAGATTGCTTGCAGGTACAGGAGCGAGATGGGGAAAGCTCAGCAGCAGAGCTGGCACCGGGCCCCTAACAGGAAGGCAGGTGGAATGGGGGCCTTGCCTGAGGCTGAAGGGCAGCGGATGGGCCAGAGCTTTGGAGCCAGCCAAAAGGGGCAGCAGCTGTACAGGGCTCAGAGTGCTTTCAGCTACATATTCAAGGTGTTAGCTGTAAACCGAATACAGCAGTTTGCAACTTGTGCTGTCCAGTGTTCACTGCCACTATTCAAAAGACAATTTACACTTTGATGGAAGAGCCAGTCAGGTGGGAGTGGCTTTAGAAAAACGCTAGAGGAAGAGTTAAAGTGCCATTCCTAGCACTGATGGATAGCTGGGACAAGTGGGGACCCACGAGAAACTTGCGGAGATGGTGAATCCCTTCCCCCTCTTTGCTTCCTTCCCTCTTTCTCTATCAATCTTCCCCCTCTTTCTACCCTTTCCCTTATGTCTACCTACCCTCATCTCTTTTGCCCCCCCATCCCTTCTCCGTCATTCTGCCCCCCTTCTGTGATAACCTACCCATTTCCCCCTTCTCCCATTCCCTTTATCTCTCAACCTGTCCCCGATTTCACTACTTTCTCCCATTCCCCTTATCTGTCAATCTGTCTCTCATCTCTTTTACCGCCCCCCGACATTTTCTCCACCAGTCTAACCAACCCTTGCTGCTCTCCCCACCTACCACCCACCCCTGGTACTTCACTCACCCTCACCTTTGCAGCTTTCCCCACCCTTGCTGCTCCCACGTACCCCCCTGCCCTTGGCGCTCCACGACTCCCCACCCTTGGCATTCACTCACCCCAAACCCTTGCTTGCTTCCCACCTGCCCCCCCCCGGCACTCAATTACTCACAGGGGGGAATCCCATCTCCCCCCCCCATCGCTGAGCCAGCACATCCAGGTCCTCGCACTCACCTTGGGGCCTCACCAAGCCCCAAACGGCTCCCAGGGTGCATTGCGGTGGCCGACCCCTAAGCGGCTCCCTGCATCCGCTGCCATGGCGGCCAGGCCCCCGTGAGCAGATCCTGGTGTCCCCTCCTGCCAAGGCTGGGCCCTTCGCAGCTCCCAAGGTGCACTGCAGCGGCAGCTGAGCCCTTTGTGGCTCTGTTTCTCTCCCGGTGGCGGCCGGTCCCCAAGCGGCTCCCGATGTACACTGTGTGGGCCTGCCAAGGCTCGCTGAGGTTTCTTTCCCCTCCACTCCTGGCTGCTCACCTGGAGCCGCTCTGAGGGGACCTGCAGAGTCTTCCATTACCCCTCGCCCAGCAGAGCCAGCACTCTGTTGCCCCAGCAACCACCAAGCTCCTTTCCAGCTCCAGGACAGTAAGCGCACTGCCTGCGCACACACGGGTTTTTTTATTTTCAGGGGCAATTTAACCCCCCCCCCCAATTTTTATTTTACTTTTCAAATTTTTCTGCAAACCTGTGGGGTCACCCAAGTTTGCAGAAAGGCCTGTTTAAGGTAAGTGTGGCCCCTATCTGCGAGTTTATATATCTGCACATAGGGGACACAGTTGGGAATTAGACCCATAATTTGCAACCATGCGGATCAACCACTGTGAGATCACCTTGCGTGGCTTTTTGTCTGGTTCTTACAAACCCCTGAAATCCAATATTCAGCCCCCCCTCAAATGCTCAGGGGAGCTGCAGTCAAAGATTACCCATAATCTGTTTCTGTGTTCAGTAACCTGCAAGGAAGGAAGCGGACCACAACCAAAAAGAACCCTGAACTTCTTTCGAGAGCAGACCCGGTAATGAAGTGTTCTGTGAAGCAGCTGCTTATTTGAGACTCCTGTTCCACTTACAAGCTGCCATTTTTCTTTTTGTCTTAGAAATCAGGTACTTGCTTTGAGCTGTGGGCATCCACACAGAAAATCTAGGGGAGGGCTGGCTGGCCCCAGCCTTAATGGAGCCAAGAAGCAACGGTGATGGCAGAAATCCCATTCGTTTGAAGTCTTGTCTGTCTAAAGATGGAGGGAAGGAAGCTAATTCAGACAATTGCCTAGCTGCAGGGAATGCTTAAAACTATAGCATGTTTCCCTGCCCTCCTGGTTCTACCAAAACACAAAAGTGAAAACCCTGCAGTGAACTGCAGGGGGAGGAGAGTGTTTAATTCAGGCAGGAACAGTCACAATATGTGTTAACTGAATGAAGTTCACCGTCTCAATGTATTACCATCATACACATTATTAATTGTGAACAAATTCAGTCACATTTAAACAAATGCATCCTTGAAAATGTCTATAGAATACCCAGGAATTTTGTGGACCGTCTTACATAAAGATCTTCACACTACGCATTTTGAGCGTAAAACTTTGTTTTTATAAGTGAAATAATTCTCTGAAATTTTTCCAGTGCTTCAGAAGATTTTCAGTTTTCTGTTAGACATACTGGGGGTGGAATTCCTTTCCCAGGCTTTTGCATCTCTAGCTGAGGCCAGTGTTGCATCTCTAGCTGAGGCCAGTAAGTGAGAATGGGGATTTGAACCTGAGCTTTTATTATCTGTTGCTTTATTTTGAAGTAGAAACGGGAACTCATCCTTGGTAGCAACATCTTGTCCTGCAAGAGAAATTGAACAGGGACAGTCTTGCAACAGGGAAGGCTCCAGTGCTGCCACCTTGTGGCTCCCTGGTTTCAAACAGGGAATCCGCTTAAACCTCCTCCTGATCAGGATCCCACTCCCTGAACAAAACCCCAAAACGTTTCAGATAGCCAGAGGAGTCAAGAGGACGGGCAACAGGCAGGGTTGCTGCAAAAATGCACAGGGGCATTCAAAGCTGCTGACTACCCCCCCCCCCCAACGGAACAAAAGCAGAAAGCTAAAATAAAAGCCACAGCAAATAAAACCAAGCAAATAAAACATTACCCCCCCCCCCCGCACCCGGGGGGGGGGGGCCAGGGCAACGCGTTCGGGGGGGGGGGGAGTTCTGCAAATGCCCCCCCACACACAATTTCTCCTGACACCTCCCGCGCCATCAGTTTTAAAAGCAGAAATGAACACAGACCAAGGTCAGATGTCCAGTTTAATAAAGCACTCAAGCAGATTGGATCCAGCTGGCTCCTCCATGGGCCAAGGTTTGGCTTTGCACTTAAAAAAGGAAAGGGGAAAAAACCCTTGCTTAATCTCTCTTAGGCTTTGGCAGATTCAGAAACTGTTCTTCTGGGACTGTGTTCTACTCCTCCCCCAAACCCCTACATGATTATTTGTATTTATAGCTTGTCACAGACCTCCTGGTTATATAGGCTGAATCAAATGCCTTGCAATCTATGACACCTACTAAAAACCAGGCCACAGAATCAAAAAACAAAAACACAAATCCCCACTCACTGTATTCCACGTGCCCAACCAGGAAACTAGGGATCTGCTTAAGGAGATGGGATTGTGATAGACATGTGTCAATTTCACACCCGAAGCTCAGGGGCTGCATTTGACTCGGGGGCTCGAGCAGTTTCATGATCCTGCTCTGGGATGCATACCAGAACCCTGTTCAAGTTTACAATGAACCCATACAATTTGCATACAGTGTACACATCTTTATATGTGCGTCAAGAAATTCTCATGCTACATGGCTTCATTTGTAAAATGAGCACACACCAGCTCTTTCTTACTAACAAACACATGCATTTAAATATGTACACTGTAATGTGAACAGGGCTTAGGTAGACAGGCTTACCTAGGGTTACGTTCTGGATAGTTGTTTGTCGGTTTTTGTACGTACCAAATACTGAACTGTTCTGCTCAAGTAACCCTGCCCAAGAACTGGAAAAAGTACAGAGGAGGACAACCAAAATAATTAGGGGGTTGGAGCACCTTCCTTATTGGAATTCAGTTTAGAAAAGATGATTAAGGGGAGACATGATAAGAGGTTTATAAAATTATGCATGGAGCGGAGTGAGTTGACAAAAAGAGACTCCTGCTTGAGTTGGCCAGATAACCCAGGGTTCATTTCAGAGCCTACTTTGTGTCAGTGGTGGCAGCCAAGAAATACAGTCTATTTTGGGCTGAAGAGATTACATATTGGTTCCCAAGAGAGCGGTGGAGTCCTTGGTGCCTCCTATACAGATCTAGATACATTCATGGAGGAGAGGTTTATCAGTGGCTACTGACCATGGTGACTAAAGGGAACCTCCACATTCAGAGGCACTAATCCTCTGAAGCCCAGAGCCAGGAGACAACATCAGGAGAAGGCCTTGGCCTATATGCCCCGTGACTGGCCTTCCAGAGGAACTGGTTGTTCACTGTGAGACAGATGCTGGACTAGATGGGCCACTGGTCTGATCCAGCAGGGCCCTTCTGATGTTCTTTTGAAGGCCTCGGCCTCTGTGCCCTGTTGTTGGCCCTCCGGAGGAACTGGTTGGCCACTGTGTGAGACAGGATGCTGGACTAGATGGACTGCTACCTGATGTTCTTATGAAGGCCTCGGTCTTTATGCTTTGTTGCTGGACCACCAGAGGAACTGGCTGGCTGCTGTGTGAGAGATGCTGGATGGGCCACTGGTCTGATCCAGCAGATCTCTTCTAATGTCCTTATCATGGGAAGGCCTTGGCCTCTGTGCCCTGTTGTTGTCCCTCCAGAGGAACTGGCTGGCCACTGTGTGAGACAGGATGCTGGACTAGATGTTAGCCAAATTGCTCTATTTCTTAATAATAGATTGGGGAATTATGATATTAACTAGAAATAAGGCCCGTTGTTGAAATAAATACAACGGGATCTAGAAAGAGGCTCTGGGAGAGTGCTCTGGCTTTGGGCAAACAGTGTCAGTCTGCTTTTAAAACATGAACCTGGGACCTGCACACCACCAGAATACAGCAGGTTCCATATGCAACTGACATTCCAACTGCCTTGTGGGGGGGGAGTTTGAGGTGTGGAATGGAGTGAAGTCCAATCAGCTTCCATATGCAAAAGACCAGGTTGTCGCAGTAGATGTGGTGTGGGTGGGACCCGGGCTTTGCCTTCTGATTGGTGGCGATATATGCTGAAAAGCAGTGCCATCAGCCATACACTAAGGGAATGCATTTTAGAATTAGAACTTTGGCACCCACTATTCAATTATATATAAGGAGAGATGAGCAATTGGCATAACTATAGGATCAGACCTGTGGCTGCATCAACAGAAGCATAGTGTACAGATCACGCAGTGATGGTATTGTTTTACTCAGCTCTGATTAGACCTGACCAATGTCAGCCAAGCAGCCGTCTTGGGCTTGGTTGCCATGGAGATGTGAGGGGGGAGTGAGCAAGAATGTCTACTTTCATTTAATTTCAAAGAACATTATGAGTCTGGATCCTATCATTGTCTCAATAAACTTTTTACTTCTTCTGAATGACTGTTATTGGGAATTGATTTCTCCAGGGGCTGACAACCTAAGTATTGTGTTCAGTTTTGGGCACCACAATTTAAGGATATAGACAAACTCAGAGGTCATTTCGGGGGGATCGCGGGGGATCGCAGTTCCCCCGGGTGAGGTACGGGGGGCGGGGCACATGACGAAGGCCCCCCCTTGCAGGTCCACAGCCGGGCCCCTAATGGGGCTCGGCAGTGGAGCTGCAAGGCCGGCGGTGGCGGCTAGGACCGTTGGGGGCGGGGCGTGGGGCCTTATGACACATTTCCGGTGATGTCAGGGGGTGTGGCCTTATGACACTTCCGGTGATGTTAGGGGGTGTGGCATATGCTAATGAGTTATGCTAATGAGTTCCCCTAGCTCTTTTTCTACGAAATGACCCCTGGACAAACTGGAATGTGTCCAGAGGAGACCAACGAAGATGGTCTGGAGACCAAGTACTATGAGGAAAGGTTGAAGGAGCTGGGTATGTTTAGCCTGGAGATGACTGAAAGGTGATATGGTAACCATCTTCAAGTATTTGAATGGCTGTCATATGTGCAGAGTTGTTTTCTGTTGCCCCAGAAGGTCAGACCAGAACCAATGGGTTGAAATTAAATCAGAAAAACTCCAGCCAGCTATTTGCCCTGCAGGTGAAGCCGCTGCTAAAGTCCCAAGCACAGCCTTCGCCCTCTTCCCCCTCTCCTTGGAGACCTGATCCGGAATCAGCTTCCTGCCCCCATGTTCACTCCCCCACTTTGGGGTGCATTTCTGGAGAACAGAGGTCCTTCCCTCACATCAAAAGAGGACAGCAAGACCTACAGCAGCTCCTAGAACAAGCAAGGGCAGCAGGCGGCCCCTCAGCCTGACTGTGAGCAAGAGAAACAAGGACCAAAAAGAGACCCCCCACCCCCGGCCTCATCTGCTCACCGGACTTTTTTCTCCAGGAGGAAAGACACAGGCTTGTGTGTACAAAACAACACATGTTTTTAATTGTGCATTGAGGAATGCAAAGCAAGAAACCATGAAATGGGGCTGGACAAGCCCCTGGAAAGTGGAGGGGCATTGGGGGGAACACAAACACACAATATTCTTGCACAGCACTTTTGAAAGAGCTCGTGAAAGGCTCCTCCTCAGCCTGTCCCCTCTGACCCAAGCATGACCGGTGCTTGGTGGGAAGCCCGCCTGGCTCACAGCCAGCTCATCAGGCAGAGGCGGTACCCAGAGGGGTCTCGGGATGGGCGCTTGGACTGCTGCCAAGCGAGGCCTGCAGGTCGTAGAAAGCCTCCATTTGCCTCCGCTTGTCCTTGGCCCGGATGATGGTCCTCTTGAAGAGCTTAAGGTAGAGCTCCACGGCCGCCGGGCTGTCGTCGTTGCCCGGAATGGGGTAGGTGATGAGGCAGGGGTTGCAATTTGTGTCCACCACCCCCACGGTCGGGATGTTCATCTTGGCGGCGTCTCGGACCGCCACGTGGGGCTCAAAGACATTGTTGAGAGTGCTGAGGAAGACGATGAGATCCGGCAGGCGGGCGCCCTGCCCGTACTGGATGTCGGCGTTGGTCAGCAAGCCCCCCTGCCAGTAGCGCGTGTGGGCGTACTCCCCGCACTCCTGCGCCGTGGTCTCCACCAGGTGGGCAAACCGCCGCTGGCGGCAGACAAAGAGGATGACGCCTCTGCGGTAGGCCACGTGAGCGGTGAAGTTGAGGGCCAGCTGGAGGTGGGCCATGGTTTGGTCCAGGTCGATGATGTCCTGATCCAAGCGGCAGCCAAAGATGTAGGGCTCCATGAACCTGTGGAGGGGATGGAGGAGGAGGAGGAGAAGGAGATTGGATTTATATCCTGCCCTTCATTTCGAGTCTCAGAGCGGCATACAACCTCCTCTCCCTTCCCCTCCCCACAACAGACACCCTGTGAGGTGGGTGGGGCTGAGAGAACTCTGACACAAACTGCCCTTTTTCAAGGACAGCTGTGTCAGAGCTTGGGACTGACCCAAGGTCACACCAGCAGGTGCAAGAGGAGGAGTGGGGAATCAAACCCGGCTCTCCCAGATTAGAGTCCGCGCACTTCACCACGACACCAAACTGGCTCTCTAATCTGGGATGGGGGTCAGTACTTGAGTGCCACAAACCCCAGACCTGGATGGGGGGGAAGACCTGCCAGTCCCGAAGATGACTCTGCAGCCGGGGCTCCTTGGGAGTCAGTCCCATTTTCTTAGGAGGCCCACATGGCCAGGAAAGCCGTGTGAGTCCGGCAGTCTGACCTGACCACCGGAGACCAGCCCTACCCCCCCAAGGGACGCCGGAGCAGGCAGGGTGCAGATGCGCGCGCGCCTCGTGTGCGTGCGTTTTCTCCCCGGCGGCAGGGCTGCTTCTCGCGGCTCCTCCTGGGCGTCCCCCCCCGTCCCGCCCCGCACTCACCTGTGGCGTCCGCCCTTCTTGTGGCCCAGGTGGACGCGCGCGGCCAGGAGGTCGCGCCGGGAGAAGAGCTCCTGCACGCGGAAGAAGTCGGCGTGGCGCAGCGGCGCCTCCTCCACGTCCTTGGCCGGCCGGCCGGCGGCGGCAGCAGCTCCCCCCCCCCCTTGGGCCGCCGCACCGGGCCCGCCTCCTCAGCGAGGCCGCTCTGAGGAGAACACGGAGGGAGGGAGGGAGGGAGGGCCTCGGGCGGCGGGATAAGCCAAAGGGGAGGAGGAGGCGGAGCAGCCCCGCCCCCCCCTGGTCGCGGACCTGCCCACACGACCGGGGTGGTGTATGTGTGTGTGGGGTGGGGGGGGGGCGACGATCCCGCGTCTCGACGAGCATCTCGCCCCGCCCTTACGTGCTTGAGGCCGCGCTCCTTGAGGCGCTCCACCGGCGTGTCCTCGGCCACCTCCTCCAGCCACTCGGCCCCGTCCAGGGCGCACAGGCGGAGGCGGAGCACCTTGGCCGCGAAGATCTTCTCCTCCTGCACGAACATGATGGCGCCGCCGCCGCCCGCCGCCCGCCGCCGGGAGAGAGAGAGAGAGAGAGAGAGAGAGAGAGGGGCGGACTCCGCAGCCCCGCCCCCCCCACAGGCGCCGCCCCGCCCCCCGCGGAGGAGACCGGAAGCCAGGCGAGGGGGCGTGCCGCGCGGCCTCCTGGGAACTGTAGTCGGCGGCGGCTGCCGGGAGGGGAGGGGAGGGAGGCGGCGAGACGGAGGGGGGGAGGAGGAGGAGCCAAGGCCTGGGGCGGGCCCCCAGTGGGCCGGGCAACGGCTTCCTTCCTCGCGGCCGGGCCGGGCCGGGGCACCACCCCCTATATTGGAAAGCCTGAACACCAGGTCGTGACGTCATCAAAGGTAGTTCCTGAACAGTCCCTGAGCTCTGCTGCAGTTGCCAGCTGCGGTCACAAGTGTTTTAGCCTGCAGTTTCTCTGTGTACTCAGCAAGATAGTCTCTTGATTCTTTCACTGCAGTATTCCAGACACTTCCCAGGAGCTTACAGTGTCCCTGAGTTCAGTTTCCCCTTGCATATCTGAGTGCATGTTTCGTATAATTTACAAGCATATAATATTGGAGAGTGGTGGAGGTCTGTGGTCCGATGGTATTGTCGAATAATACTAAGAGTTTAATAACTCCTGGTTTTCAGTATTGCTTTTTGTTTAACATTGACACAGCATGAGATAGTCATATGCACAAAATCATACTTTGGTAAGACGTCTTCACATACAGTAAACTTCAGTCATAATATCCAGTTACCAAAAAAGAACAGCTACACAGGATATTGGTGTACCATCACAAACGTTCAAGGGAACCAACAAATGTTTATACACACACACACACACACATATATATATATATGTATGTATGTTGGACTATAAGGAAGGCTGAGCGCCGAATAATGGATTCTTTTGAACTATGGTGCTGAAGAAGACTCTTGAGAGTCCCTTGGACTGCAAGGAGATCAAATCAGTCAATCCTAAAAGAAATCAACCCTGACTGTTCCCTGGAAGGCCAGATAATGAAACTGAAGCTCAAATACTTTGGCCACCAAATGAGAAGGGAGCACTCACTGGAGAAGACCCTGATGCTGGGAAAGATTGAAGGTCAAAGAAGACGGGGACGGCAAAGGATGAGATGGTTGGACAGTGTCATCGATGCAACGAACATGAAACTGAGCAAACTTCAGAGGACAGCGGAAGACAGGAGGGCCTGGCGGGATCTAGTCCATGGGGTCGCGAAGAGTCGGACTCGACTGTGCGACTGAACAACAACAAATGTATGTATGTATGTATGTATGTATGTGTACCCTGTTTCCCCGAAAATAAGACCTACCCCAAAAATAAGCCCTAGCAGGATTTCTATGCATTTGTGGTATAAGCCCTAGTGTGTCTTCTTGAGAAAAAATAAATATAAGACAGTGTCATATTTTCGGGGAAACACGGTATATATATATGTATATGTATATTTATTTCGGCTTACATGACCAAAAGTCTTAAGCACACATACACACATTTATGGAATAAAAACAACCAGTAAAACGTCAACACTATTTAAAAGGACATACATGAACAGTAGGGTGCGTCATCCCAATATGAAACCAACAAATGTAATAGAGAGACAGTATAGGGGGTGGTGCCTGAGCCCGCCGCCCAAGTAACGAACCAGGGCGGGGAGCAGGGTGACCCCCCCGTCTCCGCTATCGCCCCTGTGAATTGCCCCGCAGCAGCCAGACATCTTGCAGCTCGGATGCCTGCCGGGCATCTGGGGAGGGGCGGCACATTCCCCGGCCGCAGCAGCGAAGGGGGGCCGCGAGGAAGACTGGGCAGGGGACCGCCGCGCCTCGCTTGCCTCGAAGGGCCCTTCCTGCGACCTCCAGAAGTTGTGGCACTCGACGGCACTCAAGGCACTGGACATGACAGGCCTCCCTCGGCTTTCCTGTCTGGAAAACAGGCAAGAAAGTCTCCAGGAGGGCCGGCTACAGGGTTGATCCCGCCCGCAGCCCAGTGCGTCCCAACAAACTTAGGTCCAGGACCTCCAAGGCAGCCTTCTCAGAAGTGCTACCTGTTCCACCTGCAGGGCCGGAAAAACAGGCACAGATCAGGAGTCTCAATGCGTGGATGAGACGATGGTGTAGGGGGCAAGGGTTCAAGTTTGTTAGGCACTGGGAGGTTTTTTGGAACAAGAGGGAGCTGTACAGGCGAGACGGTCTCCACTTGTCCCGAGAAGGAACCAGGCAGCTGGCGCTTAAAATCAAAAAAGGTGGCAGAGCAGTTTTTAAACTGAATGTTGGGGGAAAGCCGACAGGAGATGAAAAGTCTCTGGTTGGCTCATCTCAGAGAGATGAGGGGGTACCTGTTGCTTTTCTACAGGGAGGTGGATTGAAATTGTCCACAGAGGCCATGGCTAGTGACATGGACTACCTGACAAGGTCTCGAGATAGCAAGAGGAAGGTGGCAGGCTTAACTTGTATGGGAAATTACAGCTGTTTCTATACAAATGCTAGAAGTGTCCGAGGTAAAATCGGGGAGTTGGTGTGCTTGGTGTTGGAGGGAAAAATAGACATTGTGGGTATTTCATAAACTTGGTGGGATGAGGAAAATCACTAGGACACAGTGATTCCCGATTATATATTATATCAGAAGGATGGGGGGGGGGGACGGGTTGGAGGGGGGGGGGCTCTGTATGTCAGAGAGGGTATAAAGTCCAGAAAGATTGAGAGGCTAAGAGAATTGGATTCGCTTCTGGAAGTTCTATGGGTTGAAATAGGGGGGCCAAAAGAAAACTTAACACTGGGAGTTTGTTATCGCCCACCAGATCAAAAGATAGAGGATTATAAAACCATGAATGAATTAAAGATAGTAGCTAGACATGTGGCTCTTTCTCACAGTCTAATTTAGTGTTAAAAGCAAATGTGCATATGTTTCAATAAAAATGTGCGTAATATTTGTTCATGTCTTGCGGCTCTCGAACATATATCGTTTCTGTTGCTGTTAACGTTAAGCAAGTTTGGCCACCCCTGCTATAAGCAACCTTGAATGGACTTTATTTGCATATTCCTAATGGATTTGTGTTTGGACCTATGAACAATTTTGAATGGACTTTATGTATATATTCCTAATGGATTTGAGAATGGACTTTTGAAATAATTGTTGATGATATTCAATTTGTGGTAGGAATGATGTTACAGTTTTGATATTGTATTTTTTATCATGTTGAGACATTTGATATAAAATATACACAGAAATATTCAATTGATTGTGGTAACAAGTTTATTATAGTAATTTATTAGGATTCCGTTACTGTATTTAACGTCTTGTTTCACAGTAGATAGATCCAGTTGGTCAGCCTTTTTTGTCTGAAGCAGTACAACAAATTTAGAGTCCAGTGGCACCTTTAAGACCAACAAAGGTTTATTCAAGGTATGAGCTTTTGTGTGCAAGACACACTTCCTCAGATACACTGGAATGGCAATTTGAACCTTGACTGCCATTCTAATGTATTTGAATGGAGTTTCTTCATCCACTGGCCTACAGTTCCCAGCTGCCCCAGGGCCAAAAAGTGCAGGGAAACGAGGGACCGCCGCAAGGGGTGGGGCAGTGTCAATTTATACTCTGGCCCATCCAAGGAGGGGTCAGTCTTCATCCTACTGGGGATTAGGAAAGACTCCTGCTGACCATGCTGACCAGGGTGTCCAGGCCACAAGCAAGAGATGTCAGGAACCTGGGGAGGCAGCAGAAATTCAGCCATTCAGCAGTCAGCCAGATTGGGGAATGGAGGGAAGTTTCCCTGCTCCCTTGGGCAAGAGAGAGAGAGGCTGAATCAGAGCTGGATGCCGGTCTCAGGAGAGATCCTATCCTGAGCCCACAACCTCCAGAGGTAGAGAGTGTAAAGAGTATTGTGTGCAGGGAGAGAGGATTGCGTTTAACCCCTGTTGATTTATGCCCTGTTGGTTCATAGTGTGTGCCTATCCCAATGGTGTGCCCTATTCATCTAGTGTTTGTGTGCTCCATAATTGTGTAAATAGTTAAATAAATCCTTATATTTGAGCTAATAATTTGTGTCGTGCTCTGGTCACATAGTCTCCCCCGCTCTGCACAATACCAAAGGGGGGGGGGAACCCAGGGAGGCAAGAGAAGGCCAGACTCTTGGATTGTCAACTTTCCAGGGACCCCCTGAAGATTGGGGATTTTATCTTCAAATAGGGAGATTCAAATAGGGTCTCACTGTCCCTCTAAAAAGGCAGTGACAATTCAGTGAGTGGTGGCAGCGAACTTAATGAGTGAACTGAAACTGGAGCCCATTTCGCCACACCTTGAATAAACTTTTGTTGGTCTTAAAGGTGCCATTGGATTCTAAATTTGTTGTTTCACAGTAGTTTTCTCACTTTAGGTTGTACCTGTATTACTGTGATTTCTTTAGTGGTAACCATCCCTAATTCTAGGCATTGAGCAAATAACACCATCCCAACTCCGGAAGACAAAATGTTGCTTAGAACATCAAGAATCCTGTGAAGATACATCTGCGGTTCCCAAGAACTTGACAATCTCAAATTGCAGAACACCATCTACTAGTCAAATATATGACTGTGACAGTTTATCATCATCATCATGAGGAAGAAAACATGTTTGGGTGTGTCAAGGAGACCCTACCTGCCTCCCTTTTAAGTAGGGATGCTAGAACACCCCCCAGTCAGCTCATACACTGTTCCCCAGTAGCCAACAGGGAGCTGGTTTTTCTACAAACTGTTTATCTGTTCGTATGCTCATTTGTGGCTGTTCAGCAGATAGCTTCACCATATTCCTGCCTAGCATGCAGTGTAGCAGGCCCATAGCTACGGTGGGGCCCAATGGGGCTTGGCCCCATCACGCATCAGCCAGGCACAATATTTTTAAAATTAATTTTAAATTATTTTAAAATTCTTTCTGTAAAGTCACGTTGTGCCCTGCCTGCTTCCTGATTTGCTGCCTTTTCCTGATTTGCTGGTGACCTCACTGGTG